CTGGCAGGCAGGGCCGAGCAGCATGGCTGCAACATGCTCCGGCAGGCAGGGCCGAGTGACGTGGCCGCAGCCTGCTCCGGGAGCTGGGGCCGGGCAGCGCGCCTGCAGCCTACCAGCCCCGGAGCTGCAGCTGCTTCGGGGGCTGTGAGGAGAGCAGCATGGCCAGAAGCGGAGAGACTCTGGCCCCACCTCTTCCCTTCTGGCTCTGCTGGTTGTGCTGCCTCTCCTTGCTCCCTCTGTTGAGGGGAGGGGCTGGGTCCTACCTCTCCCTCTCTATACCCGTTCATAAGCCGACCCCCTTCTCTGGTGTGTCCCTTTTTTTACTAAAAAAATTCAGCTTATGAACGAGTATATACGGTACATGTCCTTGGCATTCATCTCAGCTGATCCCCTTCCCCTCCCTCCTAATTTTTTCTCTGCCATTCAGGTAAATATAGCTTCAAGTAACTTTAATTTTTTTTAAATAGGAAAAGAATACATCCCCCCAACATCAAGTGAATTTAGAGACCCGAGGGGCTCAAGAATTCAGTCTTCTCTGCAGTCTCTCTCTCTCTCCTTTATTCAGCCTCACTTTTCTTTGCTGTAGTACCTGTCGCCATGACAGTGTAGAACCCATCAGGGAAACTGCTGAGAATCTTTATTCACTATGGAGGTTTTTGAAGCAGTCCTGAGAAATCGCTGCAAAAAACCGGAGTTTGAAACCAGTTGGCCAGGTCAGATCTACTTTTTATTCCTCTTTCAGAAATCTGAGTATCAGGGAATAATCAACTGATGCTGAGCGCTCTGCTTGCTGAAGAGGTTCAACTATACTTGTAACAGAAGAAAAGATGTACTGGTACATTTCAGCATGGCATGAATATGTAGTTTTAGGTTTAGTGATACTCAGCAGATGTATTCATTAAGCAAATTTATTCATGGAGGAGTCTGACATACATTTGACTTGTATTCTTATAAACAAACCTGCTTAATAAATACATCTGCTGTGCACCAGTTTGGCCCCGCTGAAACACATTTTTCCATAGTAAAATCTTCAGGGTATCTTCAGCCCTGCAGCTGCCTTTTTCTGTAAACATTATGGCTCAACTTTCAAAGGATCCTCAGACCAATCTCTAAAAATGCCAATGTGCTTTTGTGTTTCCAAACCTGTAAAATACATTTGCTTATATAAATCAGATGTCAGACAATATAATGATCAAATTTTTAGAAGCTTCTTTTGAAAAATTTGCATGAATGAAAAACACAGAAAATTAAGATCTTACTATGGTCTATGTACATTTTGATGTTGCATATGCAACAGTGGGGTATTTTGTCTGCTAGACAATAAACCATGCATATTCACTGGGTTTAGGTAATTTAAATATCTTATATTTACATAGTGTCTTTCATCCCCCAGTATTTAAATTGCACAACACAGGAATCATTTCACCTACCACTGAAAAGCAGCCACCTCTAGGGAGGAACATTGCAGATATTTACCAGCAGATAACAACACTGCACTACAGTTTAAGATAGGACTTGAAGAAGCTTCCGAGTTGCTTAAGGTGCAGCCCTAAGTGGAGTGAATTTCAATAGTGCAATATCAAGGTGAAAAACGTATAACTCACAGTAGTAAGGTTTGCATCTGAAAGAAACACTTTCAACATCCTAGCTAGGCAAAGACTAAAAAATCCCTTCCTAGACACTGCTACTGTTTAACAGTAGTTGGAGACAACAGTATCCACAGATTGCAAGCTCTAGTGACAACAGGTAGACACACACTCTCAATAAGAGGGGAAAGTACAATCCTTGGAATAGTTTTTGATAATTTTTCCCCAGCCTACCAGCATCACTTCAGTCTTAACCAGAATGAGCTTCAGCCAACTAGCTCTCATCCCTGCCCCAACCCCAACCAGCTACTGGACCAAGGGCTGGTAGCACTGACGGAGTTGGGTGAGATAGAGATAGGGATGGAGCGGGATGTCATCAAAATACTGAAAGCTGCGCAGACCACAGCTCCTAATCCTCTCAATGGTCTTATACATTGAATAAGAGGGAGCTAGGTAACCCATGCTATTATCCTGAGCAATGAACAGATATTGCCCAACACCATCCCTCGAGAACAGCTGTGTACAGCAGATTGATATTGCCCAAACAAAAAAAACTATCAGTTTTACCCACTTCTAAGCAAAACAACTTTGTCATATCACAAAAAAGTCCAATGCCTCCTTACCCGTGTGTCTAGATTATACGCAGTCTTCTTTAAATCCTGCAAGGCCCTCTGCATGAATTCAAATGCATGGCAGTCAACGCAGGGGCGACCTAGGGAAGAGTTTTAGTAGAGAGACATTCCTAAATGGCATGAAATAGTAATCAAAGGGAATGATTATGACTTTTTACTGAATCAGGCCCTTCCAAGAGAGACAAACAAGGCAGCAACAGGAACATCCACTACCAGTATTGGGTAGCTAGCTTAGAAAAGCAGAGAACGAATGCTGCAGCTTTTCACTATTCTTAAATCACAAGTGAAAGTCCAGGAAGCAAACCAATCTATCCATTCATGTTTTTATACCATGCCTATGATCCTAGTATCTGAGTTCCTCAAAAAGAATTCATAATAAAAAATAAAGTTAGGAAGTCTAATTTTCTTCTCACTTCTGCCTGAGGCAGTTTGGACTATGTTTTAGTAAGTCATTTATTTATTTAAGATTATTTTTCCTCTTTCCCCCTGTTCTTTCCTTTTCTTCCTCTTATTAATTAGTTACTATTTGTATGGAGGTAATTCCTGGCAGAGCCAGTCATAGATCAGGACCCCGTTGTGCTAGGTGCTGTACAAACTATTGCCATGTCTCCCTTTCCTTCCTCTCTTCTTTGTTACTATTTTAGTTGCTGTGGGATTGCTAAATTGAAGTAGTGAGTTTTCTGCTTCCCCTTTACTCTGAAAGGTTTCAGAGTGGTAGCCATGTTAGTCTGTATTTCCTATCTTTTAACCAGTTACTGATCCATGATAGGACCTTCCCTCTTATCCCATGACTGCTTACTTTGCTTAAGAGCCTTTGGTGGGGGACCTTGCTAAAGTCTTTCTGAAAATCTAAGTACACTATATCCACTGGATCCCCCTTGTCCACATGCTTGTTGACCCCTTCAAATAATTCTAGAAGATGGTGAGGCATGATTTCCCTTTACAAAAACCATGTTGACTTTTCCCCAACAAATGATGTTCATCTATGTGTCTGACAATTCTGTTCTTTACTATAGTTTCAAGCAGTTTGCCCAGTACTGAAGTCAGGCTTACCGGCCTGTAATTGCTGGGATCACCTCTGGAGCCCTTTTTAAAAATTGGCATCATATTAGCTGTCCTCCAGTCATTTGGTACAGATTCTGATTTAAATGATGGTTACAAACCTCAGACCTCCAAAGCCTTGGACCTGTTCCCAAGAAAGTCCTGTTTCCAGCTGTCATAAGCTTGAAATGGACAGTTTAATGGAATGCATCTGAGATCATCATCACACAGAGTTTGGGTCAATGTGAAGACCTGAGACTTTGAATTTGACGCATTATTGCACGGGGATCCATTGTAGTGAGCAGTGTACCGAGGTGCTCCTAGTGGCTGGGGTCGCTGAGAATGTGGACTGCTGCCTGCTGGACTAATTGCAGCATTTTTAAGGTTTGTGTTCTCTGGTCTAAGTAATCCAAGCTGCAGGTCACAAGAATGTGGCTGACCATGTCCAGATCTTCATCCAACTAGAAACTATATCCTATAAACATTAGCAATTCAGAGACAGGACAGATAAAGCAATGATACTAATATGCTCTAAAATCAACTATTACTGGCATTCCATATGCCCTCACTTGCCTCTTAACTTCTATGCATCTTTGATTACTTCACTGGGAGATTTGCTCAAATTAGAAGTTCAGGACTTGGGGCCAGTCAGCACTCTGAAGTTGAGTAGAGACAAGGAAAGAACTACAGTGAGGCTGCAATGACCTTCAGCCTGTTGTGCAAACACTGACTGATTTCCACACACTTTTGATAAACTGGAGCGGGATCGTACAACATGAAGTCTGCCTGCTAATAAGGAAAGATGAATTTTCAGAGTCCTTTAAAAGTCTGCCTGCCTGAGAAAAGAAACACTCCAAACTATTCAGCTGTAGCTGAATAAAAGGAGAAATGTATAAAAATATATTTAAAAAGCTAATCTCTGAATGTTCTAGTACAGGGGTGGGCAAACGTTTTGGGCCAAGGGCCACATCTGGTTGAGGACATAGTATGCAGGGCCGGGGTTGGGGTGCGGGAGGGAGCGCCGGGTGTGGGAGGGGGTGCGGTGTGCAGGAAGGGGCTCAGGGCAAGGGATTGGGGCAAAGAAGGGGTGCAGAGTGCAGGAGGGGCTCAGGGCAGGGGTGCAGGAGGGGTGCGGATTGCGGGAGAGGGCTCAGGGCAGGGGGTTGGGGTGCAGCAGGGCTGCGAGGTGCAGGCAGGGAGTTGTGGGGTGGGGTACAGGAGGGGTTCGGGCTCCAGCCCCACTAACCTCAAGCGGCTTCAGGGTGGCAGCGGGGTAGGCTCCCTGCACACCTGCTCTGTCCCCGACCCCGCGTGGCTTTAGGAAGCGCTGCAGCCCCGGCGGGGGGGAGGGGGGAACGAAAGGCTCTGCGTGTGCTGCCTTTGCCGCGCCTCCAGGTACCTCCCCCAAAGCTCCCATTGGCCACGGTTCCCCGTTCCCAGCCAATGGGGGCTGTGGGGGGCGGTGCCTGAAGGCAAAGGCAACGCATGGAGCTTGTGCCCCCCCATCCGGGGGCCGCAGGGACATGGTGCCGGCAGCACCATGGGTCGGATCCAAAGCCCTGAGGGGCCGGATCCAGCCCGCAGGCCGTAGTTTGCCCACCCCTGTTCTAGTATATTTCTTAGTCTAATTTTGTTATTATTATTTATTATATACATAGAACCATAGGTGAGGATGGCACTTTCCAGACAAATAAAATGATAGGTCCTTGTTCCAAGTAATTTATAATGTAAACTAGATTCATTACAGCTCAACGGATGTCTATACACAAAGAGAGGGGAATGGGAGGATGGAGATTGTGATCATGAAAGATTATGAGATGTGCTTATTATTATTTCGGTATCCTGTTCATTCGTTTTTTAATTTAAGAAAATTTTTACTATATTAGGTTGGGAGATAATGCCCGGCATGAAGGCAGCAGTGAGGGCATTGTTGGCGGAAAGAAGTGATCCTTGAGGATCCATATAAAGGTGGAGACTATAACTGCATGGAACATAGGACCGGATAGGATGCTCCAAATGTAGGGGGTGGGGAATGGAGCGTCAAGGTGTGCCACTCTGGCAGATTACAGCAGGTAAGCAGGGTAGGGATAGGGCTGAAGAAGTACAGGAAGGTGCAGAGCAGTGAGGTGCCCTGGATGAGCGAATGGGGAGGACGAATGTGATCCAGAAGCCACTGTGGGACTGAGGAAGGGGGTACACAGTATGTTATGAAGATTTTCTCTAGTGCAATGAAAACATGAAGTTTCCAGGACTGGTTGAATTAAGATGATCTTTAAACACCTGTAAATGCTGCAGCATTAAATCTGTGTTACACTCATGTATAGTTATGAGATAACCATATACAGGGCAGTACATACTTTCAGCTGGGATTGTTGTTCCTGCTTCTTGGTCGGCTTTAATGAGCTCCATGGTGAGCAGCACAACTACAAAAATTAAAGGAACCAGGAAGACCACTCTTCTTAGGAGGCAAGGTGTCAGCATCCTGCTAATTGGCGCTTCCTTCTTTATTAGGGGCAATAAACAAGTTAGTGAGACATTAAGTTCTGTAAAATAAACCCTTTTGTCTGTAATGTTCATGATTATTACAAGACTGACCGTCCTGAAGATTAAATTCCTCTCTTTAGCTACAGAAGAGGTACAGCATGGACAGTGGCAGAGCAATATTCTTCACCCCACTCCACCCATGTGCCTCAAACCTGGCCTAGAGGGACTTCTTGTAGGAATGAGATGGAAATTCAGTTGCCATGGCTCAGTCAGTCTCTGGCCTCTCTGCTGAGATTGGTAACGATGGTGCCAGCTTTGTGATGCTGATACTTGTCCTATTTTAACACCAACCCAAACCAGCAATGGTTGGGTCATTGCTAACCCCTGGGAATTTGTGCAGCTCTGCTACCAAGCTGCATTTGAACCTAGAGATGAAAAGTGCTCTCTCCCTCGCATTTTTAAGGTACCATCTTTTCACATATACCTGCAAAACTAAAACTAATTTTATAATTATTTTGCAACTAAACAAATCACAAAAGCTGGTGTCACACAGCTTTCTTTATGCAGAAGAAGAGGCTTTTCTTAAACCCCAACCCATAGAACCATAGGCATAGTCACTGGTCACAACTAAAACAAAGCCAGCAGTTTGTTTCTTGAAATGAATTATTCCCCCTTGTCTCTCCTCTGATTCCTGCTTGGTTTTCAGACCTTTACTTATTGTCATCCATTTGTTCCTGTACACCAGAGATGGCGAAAGCATGGTCGGAAGTGTTGGACAGCCTGACCCAAGGCTACCTCATCTGAATACAAAGATGAAGCCTGTGAACACTATCAGCTCTTGTATGCAGTGTTTCATCTTGACCCAAGTAGGTAAGTTGCTTAGCTCAAGATGGAGCACTGTATACTGGGACCAGTTGCTGTACATTCAAACACAGGCAAAGAGAAAAACTTACTCAGTTCTAAGCAGTAACAAGACTAAAATAAATTCCATATGCAGAGAGTGCAGATTCTCATTAGCAGAGCACAGGAAGGCAAGAGGATGAGTTGTCTGTTCTTTTTCTAATTTTTAAATATTAACACTGAGCAAGAATGTTGCATAAGAATGTTTAATCCTTGTGCTCGGAATGTGATGCTGGAATACAGCATTATGCAGTACAGTCTACATTTCCCAGTCAGAAGAGGTGGTTTTCCTCATATTGCAAGAGAAACATAAGGGAATAAACCTGCTGTTTAGACAACTGAGATGTTGCAAACCCTGGCAACTGGGTTTGCAAACCCTGGCAACTGAGATGAATCTGCAAATTTTGCATGAACACCTGCTGCATATGCAAATTGGCAGCTGGGCCAGCAAAGGAGTACTGTTATGTGCAATCATCTGTGCTCCATGCACAAATCCCTGGTTGTAGTGTAAGTTTACAGTGGACAGACTTGCACATTTTGCAGCCACAAACTCAGGAGGCCAGTTTTAGGGAAAAAATGGGTCCCTTCTGTAATTCTTTCAACAAAAGAACTGAGACACTGCGTGCATTTATTGATTCCCTTTGCCTGTCTTCATTATCTTTACTAACAAAGTAAACTTTAGTAAGAGCATTAACAGCACACAAAAAAGTGGTGGGTTTTTTTTATCAGTAGTGATCCAAGTGAAAACGAGTCCAGTCAAATCCTAGTCCTTGCAATGAGATACAGCAAAAGCAGAGTGTCCTCCTGAAACCGCAAATTAGGATAGTGCCATTTACATCCAAAGTGCCTTTAGCTGCACTGGAGCTTCATGAACAAGAAGCTAATTCCTATAATCTCATGCTGAAGCTTCAGCACCAGTGAGGCAAATGAAGCAGATGCTCGGCTAAACTTTTTCAGGGCACCTGAGACATCTTCAGTCCCAGCCCCAGCTCAGCTTTTTAATGAGCCCCTCTGTAAAAGAAACATTCCCTTGGGGCATCAGTTGTCTCACACCACATCTAAGTGACTGTTAGGTTTTTGAACAGAAATAGCATAATCACAACATGCTTTCAAGTGTTGTCTGCCTCTGCAACCGACAGCCGATAAAAATGTGAGCATGGCCTGTTTGGAGTTTTATGAAACAAAAAAGTCACCCCATCCCACAAATGAAATATATATATTAGTACCTGATTTCTCTTGTCTTTGTGATGGTCTCTTTGACATGGCCGCTGCAAACTGCCAACAGAACAAGAAAAAGCATCTCCGAGCATGTGCACTGCTTCTTTTTAATCTTCCCTGAAAGAGGTTATTACTATGGTGAAGCATCTTCCATAGCAACAGTGCAGAGCAATGCAGTACAGAGGCACGATTTAAAGAGGAACAGGCTATGGCTCAGTCTTATGTGGGAAGTTTCTGTTTAAAGTTGTTAAGATTAGCTACACCTCCCCACTCAAGAGGGTTTGTCTAGCACGGCCAGTTAAAGGGTCTGTAATCACCCAAGAATTAGCAAGACTGGAGGCACTGGAGCCATACATGGTGGTGCGTTGCTTGATTTAGAACATATACTTACGGAATGTATCATGGTGATAGAAAGTTGTGGATTAAACTCTTTTTTCAGAAGTAAAATTAAGTTTCCTGGATTTCATCTTTGCCCTTTGTGCACATTTGCCCCATCATGAGACATCCACACGATGCGGCATGTTTGACAGTCCCTGTTTCAAAAGGATGGTGTGAGGGTTCACGCCCCTTGTTGCAAGGTAGCACGGCCTAAGGGCCAGACTCCATAGAATCGCCCCTGGTTACAGGGCAGTACGGCCTAAGGGCCAGAGTCCATAGAATCGCCCCTGGTTACAAGGCGGCACGGCCTAAGGGCCAGACTCCATAGAATCGCCCCTGGTTACAGGGCAGTACGGCCTAAGGGCCAGAGTCCATAGAATCGCCCCTGGTTACAGGGCGGCACGGCCTAAGGGCCAGAGTCCATAGAATCGCCCCTGGTTACAGGGCGGCACGGCCTAAGGGCCAGAGTCCATAGAATCGCCCCTGGTTACAGCGCCATAGGGCCTTGACACTGGCTCAGCGGGGAGATCCTACCGAAACACGCTGAGGTTTACCGGGGGCAAGTAGCTTCCTACCGTCTGGAGAGTTGGAACCTCCCACGAATCTCCTTGTTCTCCGCGGGTCTCCGGGTCCGTCGCCTCCTCGGGCTCCTCCCGCAGCAGGGCTTCATGCCGGCCAGGGGAAGCTTCAGATCCCAGCGAGTTCAAGGGTGGTGGCTGGTCCTCCGCAGGAGCTTCCCCGGTAGGTCTTTCCCCTGCGGCCACCAACCCAGACTGAGCTGAATTCCCTCCTTTTATACTCCCCGAGCACTTGGAGCATGCCCAGTACAAACGGGGCGGGACTTCCTCCGTCAGATCTACTGGTCTGACACTGCTGGGGCTAGTGCGGGGCGGGGCCGCCCCATCACACACCCTCCCCCTTAAGAGAGATCCCCTGGGTTGGTCCGCCCCCTCCTCCCCTGTCTGGAAAAGCCAGTGAGTGGACTCGGGGCGGGGGCCACCAGGTGGGGTGGGGAGGGCTCGCGGGGGCGCTGTGCACCCTCAAGGGGAGTTCAGGGGGTGGGGGGGGAACCTGGTTTGGGGAGCAGCCCCTGGGCACGGCTGGCCCCTGGGGTCTATAAAGGCTCGGTGGGATTTGCCCCTCAATGAACCCATGTGCGGGGGGGGGTGGAAGTTTTGCCTAGGGAGTAAAATATCCTTGCACTGGCCCTGCCCCAGGGGGTGCGTGCACTCCAGGTTAAGAACCACTGCACTAAACTGGTAAGATCTGAATTTTAATTTAATTTTAAATGAAGCTTCTTAAACATTTTACAAAACTTGTTTACTTTACATACAACAATAGTTTATAGACTTATAGAGAGAGACCTTCTAAAAACGGTAAAATGTATTACTGGCACACAAAACCTTAAATTAGAGTGAATAAATGAAGACTCGGCACACCACTTCTGAAAGGTTGCCAACCCCTGCTCTAACGTTTTCCTCTGCCAGGACGACTCCAAAATACTGTTCTCTGGAAGTGGCTGGGGAAATGGCTGGCTGGAACTACTGATTTTTATGCAAATAGGCTCGGCACACAGGTATCTCACCCTTCCACACCCTTCTCTGCATTCCGACCCCATGTCGTAATCCCAGAGTGTGAACGCTCTAGGGCAGAGACTAAATTTTCACTTGGGACCGGATCGCACACAGCACAATGAGGCCCTGAGCACTGACTGGGGACTTCAGGTGCTACTGATTCACAAATACTGAATAATAATATCAAACGGCTTAATGGTCATTACATTGTCCTAGAGATTGATATTTGAACTCCTCATGAAGCAAACTTCTAATCTCCCCCTCCCCAGTTTAATGCTCAGGAGAAGCATCAGAGTAACCAGACCGAGAAACGAAGCCCTCTGTTTATTCCCAGAACAGGCCCAACTTGGCTGGACAGCACTTAAATAACCAAAACCTTTCCTCAAGGTGTTTCTCATTAATAATTTTAGAAATGATTCTCCTGTTAGTGACACAGGCGCTCTGGTTTCCGCATTCAGTGTCACGGAGAGTACAGCTCATCTGGAACCATTCGAGGCCTGAAATGTCCTGGGTTCAAGTACCATATTAAGAATGGGCTCACATCCAATGCAGATCTCATTGACTTCAAAGGGAACTGCAGGTACTCTACACCTCTGGCAGCAAATCACTTTCCTTTTGGGGACCTAAGTATGGATTTAAGTTCCTAGATTTATACACTCAAGTTGGAATACATTGTCCTTGACCTCTATGTGATTCCCTATCCCTTCCACAGCGGAGAGAGGGATAATGATATTTACTTAGCTCACAGAGGGATTATGGCAATTAAGCAGTTAATGCTTGTGAAGTGCTATTGTGATGGTCACCATCTTGGCCAACACACCAGGGCCTGAACCACAGCTAAAAGCATGAGCTGCTACTACTGGAGCTGAAGACTCAAAGCTGTCGAACCAGGACTGTAAGAGACTCGTTTCCTCTGCAGATTGGGAGCGGAGGAAGACCTGTGACACATACTCACCTGCCTGATACATGATACAAGTCCTAAAACTCAGCTGACAACAGCAGCCTCCACAGCTTCAGCTTATTTGGACAACTGTCCCTTGTAAAACTTATCTTACTTTTGGAAAATATGCATAGACCCCATCACCAGGCTCCACTTCTCCCCCAGCAAGATCCCATGGTGGGCTGTGACTTAAGAACTCCCTCACCTCCAAATCACACATGGACATGTAGTAGTAGTAGTAATTCTTATTGGCATTATGAAATCATCCAGACTGTGCTAGGCACTGTCCAAACAAACAGTGACATGCAATCTCTGCTCTAAAAGTTGACTCCTCACCAGGATGACCAGATAGCATGAGTTTTCAAAAATGCTTTATTTCACCTTCAGCTTCATGGGAAACTTTGTCCCTTCCTCCTGGGTGAGGACCTGGCCACAGTGATCCAGGCATTTGTCCTCTCCAGGCTGGATTACTGTAACTCATTGCACTTTACTGTAACTCACCTAAAATGTGGAGACGATACACAGGCTACAACTGGTACTGAATGCGACTGCCTATCTACTCCATGGTTTGGGCTGCCATGAGCCCATCAGATCTGTGCTTAAGTTCCTCCACAGGCTCTCAGTCCTAATTTTCAAAGCAAGTAACAGGTCAAGCCCCAGCTGCATAAGACCGAATTTTGATCGATGACACATTGTGATAGCTACACTCCTCTGGAGCAATGGAGACGACAAAGCCCAGGGCAAAGTGCATGAGAACTGAGGATAGAGCATTCACGGTTGAGGGGATCCAACTAGGGAACAAACTTCCAGAGGAGATCGGGCAAATGCAGAATTTGACAGTCTTTAGGAAGTGTCACAAAGTCTTCTCTTTTAGAGAGCCTCTTACCATAAGTAACGCTCACTATACTAACACCCCCTTTTATTCCCAAGCCCCCGGGTTTTGATTTATGTCGGAAAGACTGGTGCAGATTGAATCGCATCAGGACATCTCATGGAAGATGTGGACAAACACTCTTTAAATGGAAAATGAGGCAAACACCTGTATGCGACTGTGGTCACTAGGCACAAATGATAGAGCACATCATATCTGCAGGGCCGGCTCCAGGCACCAGCATAGCAAGCTGGTGCTTGGGGAGGCACATGGAAGAGGGCGGCACGTCCGGCTCTTTGGTGGCGGGACCCTCACTCCCTCTCGGAGGGAAGGACCTGCCGCCGAATTGCCGCCGAATAATGAAGCGGCGGCGGTAGAGCTGCTGCCGATCCTGATTGCGGTCTTTTTTTTTTTTTTTGGCTGCTGGGGCGGCAAAATGCTGGAGCCGGCCCTGCATATCTGAATGTCCCCTTTGTTCCTTTGTCGGGGGGCTGAAGGACATTGCTGCAGCAGTGAGCTGGTGAATTGCTGGCTATCAAACTTAGATATAAATTTGTAATTGTTGCTACCTAAAAAAGCCATACGAAAGAAGAAGAAGATTCCCAAGCCCCTAGCACAGGGATGGGCAAACTTTTTGGGCTGAGGGCCACATCTGGGTGGGGAAATTGTATGCAGGGCCAGGGCAGGGGGTTGGGGTGCGTGAGGGAGTGCGGTGTGCAGGGGGGGGTGTGGTGTGCAGGAAGGGGCTCAGAGCAAGGGATTGGGGCGGAGGAGGGGTGCGGGGTGTATGAGGGGGCTCAGGGCAGGGGTGCAGGAGGGGTGCGGACTGCGGGAGGAGGCTCAGGGCAGGAAGTTGGGGTGCAAAGGGGTGCAGGGTGCAGCGGGGAGCTTAGGGCAGGGGGTTGGGGTGCAGGAGGGGTGCAGGGTATACAGGGGGGCTCAGGGCAGGGATTTGGGGTGCAGGAGGGGTGCGAGGTGCAGGCAGGGAGTTGCGGGGTGGGGTACAGGAGGGGTTCGGGATCCAGCCCAGCGCCACTTACCTTAAGTGCCTCTGGGGTGGCAGCGGTGTGCACCGGGACCAGGGCAGGCTCCCTGCACGCCTGCCCTGTCCCTGTCCCCACGCTGCAACCCCTGGGGGAGGAGGGACGGAGGGCTCTGCATGCACTGCCCTTGCCGTGCCTCCAGGTACCTCCCCCGAAGCTCCCATTGGCTGCGGTTCCCTGTTCCTGGCCAATGGGAACTGCGGGGGGTGGTGCCTGGAGGCAAGGGCAATGCAAGGAGCCTTCTGCCCCTGGGCCGCAGGGACGTGGTGCCGGCAGCGCCGCGGGCTGGATCCAAAGCCCTGAGGGTCTGGATCCGGCCTGTGGGCTGTAGTTTGCCCACCCCTGCCCTCCACAAAAAACTTATCCTACAGAGTTTTGACCCTGCAAAAGGGAGAAGAGCTAGAGATCCCATGAAGCCTACTAGGAACTAAACTATTAATTTTATGTGGAAGGCACTCAGATACTATGGGCAGCAGTATAAAACCCTAAAATAGATAAAGAGTTTACAGTCTTAGACAAGCAACAAGCCAAACATAGAGGGTGAGGAACAAAACATACAATAAACTTTTTTCTTTAATCATCATCTACCCCAATTGGCCGATAAGCCACTGTTAGTACAGTAAATTCATTTTATGTGAGCATCATGGTAAAGCTGGGTCTTGCAGAGGGATTTGAAGGAGGGAGGAGTTGCTTTACAGCTTGCAGAGGGCGTTCTACCAGTCAGGAGTGGTTGTGAGAGAAATAGACAAAAGGGGAGGCTGGAGCTGGCATAACTGCAGGGCAGAGATGGCAGGAGACAAGACCAGATAAGCAAGGAGGGGTAGAGAAGTGACGGGCATGTT